TCGATGATTTCACGGGTATTTTGTCTAACGCCGTCGCCTCTTCCATTCGTGTGGTCGTCTGCAGGTGTGGTTCCGTTCCCAGGGAGCCCAATATTTCTTCCACCTGAAACATTCCAGCTCTCGGTATCAAGTCTCTGACTGATTCGTAGTAATTGCCGCGCAATCTGTGCAGATCGTACCTTAGCCTCACCTGTTCCGGATCTTCTTAAATTCTCCAAGAGCGTTATCTCGCCTCTATTGCTCACCCCATCCCAGCACTCGAGCAAAAAGCGGGCGTCAAGCGCCCGGCGTCTTTGGCGATCCAACTCCTCTAACCTTTTTCCAGTCTCCACTGCCATATTTCCGGTGGCCCCGGAAAGTTCTGTACCGGAGAGCCCTGCTCCATTGAGTGATGTGTCGAGCTGTTGAAACGATTCAATGGTTTGTTTCAATTTTTTGCCCAACGTGTTAAGGTTCTGGGAGTGCTGTGCCTCCGCCCTGCGGACTGCAGCCGATAATTCATTCTCTTTGATCTCCAGGTCGCCTGAAATTTCGCCCAGTCGTCGTTGTGCGTGCTCCAGTGTCCGGATAAGTGGTTTGGGGTCAAACAATTGGTTCCCGATTGCGGGGTTGAGTGTAGAACGTCGATTTAAAATGGCAGAGTCGGAAAGCGCCTCGATAAACTCCTTGACGATGAAGTCACGACTTGAGAAGTCCTCAAGGGTGAAGCTGGGGCCTTTCGGAAACACTGATCGAGACGCAGGGTTGGATGAGGAGGTCATGGACACATCGTCCGGCATTTTTGGAACTATAAGCTGATTCTATCTGCATTGATATCGGCATGGGGTGGCGGTCGATATGGGATTCGGCCTAGAAGTGGCAACTGATGGTTTTGAATGCGCCTTGGAAGTGGATCAATAAACAGCGCCAGTTACGGAGTAAACTTATGTATGAGTACTACATAGGTGGTCCATATCGGAATGGACGGCGTCCTTCCACACCTGATTACCTAACCACAGCACAGCACAACTTCTTGGTGAACTAATTGAGCACCAATGCTGTACTCCGTACGGAATGTTAGTGTAGGTACGGAGTACAGACATAGTAGCTCGGTATTTGGCCACCGGGTAGGTACTCTGTAATGCTACCCAACTCAGTGACATTTATGCTAATGGTATCTCGGATGATTGTAAATATACCTACTATATTACATGGTGCTCATCGATATTGGAAACGATCATGCACGGTAACAATCCAGACTCCAAGATCCACGGCTATGTATATAGCCGTGTGTCCCTCTACGCCTTTTACAGAGTAGCTGCAGCATATGTTTAGGCCAAACCAACGTTTCGGTTTCATCTATGTGACAAACCCTTCCATAGTACTACCCAATGACATATCAACTGATGTATCTCTCCACACGCCATTCACTACTAGGCTTTCGGCTGATAGCTGTGCGTGTTTGTAAGGAAACTTAGGTTGATAAAGCGGTCCTTGATTGAGGAAGGTAGATAACGGACGTATCTACTTGTCACCGCCCATACAGGTCCGATTTCCGTTCGGCCTGTTGGAGGACCCACCACTACTACCGGTTCAGACTCCCTCATACAGATCAAACACAAGTCAATCATTTGTTGAGCACCCGGAGTCCTTGAGTGGTACGCAGCAACAAACACCGAAACATGGTTTCGCAACGAGATAGAGAATTGCTTAGAGATGATGTTCGGTCTCGAGGAGCGAAGCTCAGTGCTGCTGATCGTGAAAATCTTCTAAGGCCATATCTGCCAGATCCGTCTGACCTTCCACGGCGGTCACCTCAGCGCCGCAAGAAGGCTTCCCGAAGAACACCTATACGGACATTCATCAAATCACAACTGCATATACTTACCTATACCATTATCCATATCTTTTTCGGGATTATTTCTCGACTCAATCTAAGCTATCATGCTGTTGTGGATCGAATTTTTGCGATCATTTATTACCACCACCGAACGCCAGAATTAATACGAAAAGATGTGAAGAGCTTAAAGCGCTTGCCGGAACATTTGAGTGTCATCTTGTCCCTGCGCAAAGAAGACGATGCTCTAGCCATCTTAATGGATGAAGTAGCAGAGCTCGCAGCCTGGAGCGTGAGTTCCGGGATACCTGTCCTAAGTGTCTATGAAAAGACCGGTAAGTAAAGCCCGAGGTCTCCAAGGCATTCTATGGATTTGAAGGGTAGAAGGGTACTATGTGATCGGGACTAATCACCGGATAATTATTCGTACAGGTGTTCTGAAATCCTGCATGCCTGTCCTTTACCAAGCCATTATGAGCAAGCTGTCCTCTTACTATGGTTCTCCAGCGCAACAACCAGCATTGCGACTGTTTGCTCCTCACCACCCAATTTACAACCAGCAGCAAAGTGTGATGCCTTCTGATAGGCATAATTCCACCTCTCTCACAATGCTTCTCTTGTCTGCTACTGATGGTCGGGAAACGTTTGTTGACTTGACCAAGACGTTGGCGGAGATGTCGCAGAGTGGTAAACTCTCACCAGAAGACATAACCATGGAATTGGTTGATGCGGAAATCAGCGAGATCACTACCCAACCCACTCAAATGGCTACGTCCGTATCTCTGGGTAGAACAACAATGGATTCTGGTCACAATGTCTCCATAGTGAAACCTGAGCCTGATCTTCTTCTGGTTTTTGGCCCGTTTCTGAAGTTGGATGGATACCCACCCTGGCATATCCGACTTACCGAGATGTTCTGTACCGGCGGCAGGAGTAGTGGGATAACCAATTGTGACGAGGCTGTTGAATATCACGGCTTCCTCAGGGGTCTCTGGCATTATGCTGGTGCTCAGATGAGGTTTGGCCGATGAAAATAGTCTGTCTAGTGTATGTATTTCTAGACATTTTCTTGTCAATGTACGCCAATTTTCATTCGAATATAGTCCATAAATGCAGAAGTCACAACGAAAAAAACAATTAGCGCTAGCTTCATCTACCAGGGTCTTGTGCTGCTTCATTCGACTATTCAGCCATTAGGCTGAGTGGGAAACTTTGAGAGGGAAATAATACCAACATGCGAAGTTTAACCATCACTGTGATAGCTATGGTTTACATGCAACACATTTTCTACAACGAGCTTGGTGACTGGGGATCTGTCTTATCAATAATCTCATTGAAGATGTGGTCGGCGTGCGCGAGATATATCCTATGTATGGCTATCTGCTAGTAAATCAAACCCAGCATTGAGTTTTCCAGCTTGTAGAGATGCATGATAAGACGTCGAAGTGGAGAGAATACGTTGTGTACCAGGAACCACAATAGAGCCCCCCTCCCGGCCTATCCTAAAATTTCCCCTTTATTCCTTATTGTCCATGTAATGTTAGTTTCATGGCCGCCGTGTCTCTCCTAGTCTGGAAGAACTGCCTGCCATTGGGGTTCGAAGCCTCGCACACATTCAAGGCACCTTGCCACTTCCATGCCCGCTTCGGTCACACCTTCGACTGCACAGGCCGAGCAAACCTTCCGAGCCCGCTCGGTCTGCATTCCGTCGCCGTTGGTACTCTCTTGAAAGTGGCATGTAGATATTTTAACTAATCCGCTGCAATCTAAGGCGTCGCAATACCGAAGACAGATATAGCAGCTTCTTTGACCACATAAATCGCAATCGGCATAGGCGTCGATGAACTCACGTGTCGTCGGTTTCCTGTGACAGATATGGCACGAACGTAGACAGAATGTAGATGCACAGAGGTTTTGCGGTTGCTGGTAGGGATTTGGAGATATGGTTCTAGGGGATACTGGCGGGGAGTTGACCTCCAAGGCTGCAGAAACATAGATGTTTTGTGATAAAATCTTAGACTGGGACGAGCTTGACGGTGGCGTGTGAGAAGTATCATCTGTAAATGACAGTTTACGGTGAGTATGTGGTTGCTGGACTCGACGTTTCCCGTGAAGACATCGCTGACGAGTAAAAACCTCTCTGCTCTGTCCAGAGAGTTCTGGGTAGTCTAAGCAGAATTGTGGGTTCGTATACTGAATGGACGATGGGATAAGTCTGAGTATCAAGAAATTAGATTAGCTACTTGCTGCTAAGGAAAACTAAACACTTTGTTCATCGGTTGCTGACCTATCTGACGGCGTGGAGACAATGTCTGCTTGGACTTGTTCCCTCTTCCGTTTTCTTATAGTTGGACTCGTAACAAAGGAATCACATTGATCAATGGGAAGATGTTGTGTAGTTGCTGAATAATATTCAGGCAGGTTCATTGGCGGACAGGGATAAAAAGTCATTCAGGCATATACATTAAGCGGCCATAAGAGATGTACTGGGATATATGAATTGGACTATATGATTAGGAAGATGAAGTCCCCCAGACCTAAAGGGAGAGTGTGCAATCCAAGATGACTGGATGAGGATGAATAAGGATGCATCTGGTCCGTTGAAACACTTCTTGTGGCCCCTGAACTGGACGAGTGCGTGGCATTAAGACAAGCCAGCTTAGTCGTACCTACAAATGGGCGTCAAGCAATAACTGCTGCTTTGGAGGTTCATTTTGGATAATCGACCTTTGTTCCTTCCCACTCTGTAACTTTCCTGTACGGAGCATCTAGACAGATCTAACCAATGGCATATGCCGCAGGAAATGATAGCGAAGGAATACCTAGGTGAAATACAACGGTACGGTGGCCTTTTACTGTGAAGTGTTCATTTGGTATTGTTACTTGCAATGCAGCACTACTTTTATAATGCCTAACTCATCATGCTATGACAGGTTAGTGCATCTACTCCATATCATTTATCTAAGTACTTAATTATCGTTTGAATCAGGTGATATGTAGATCACCTTATTTCAAACATATTATCATAAATTCATGTTAACTGAACTACGGTGTAACATCAACATATAATTGTAGCTGGAAAGCCAAGCAAAAAAACCTCGTCCCATAGCACATGTAAGCTAACAGTAATGTCTTTAGTAAAATATAATATTATATAAATATAAAAGCCCAAATTGCATTATCCGTCTCGGTGGCGCAATTGGTAAGCAATCTTCTTCAAATCCAACATATCTAGCAACTTGTTAATATCTATCAGGTTAGCGCGTACGACTGTTAATCGTGAGGTTGAGAGTTCGATCCTCTCCCGGGACGTTAGAATTTTTGGGCAAATCTCGCTCGCTCTCTTTTCCCCAACACAGTCAGCCTACTTTCAATTAACTAGGTATTCTATAAATATACACTCTTTTATTGCTAAAAGAATGGCCTTACCGCCTTGAAATACAACCCAATATTCTTATCTACCTAATAGGGAGCTGATACCCAGCAAAGCCTAAAATACCTACTCCGTACGCAAGAAAACTGACTGAAAGACTTTCTACTGAATGTTATTGAGCGGGACCAAAGACGCATAACAATAACAATTATCTGGTCTCGGGTGTTTGTCCAGGTAAGCAACACCACAGGCACTATACAGTCTTCGGCCAGCATTTACAAACTTTTGAAAAGCAACCAGTTCAAGATTTGCGCTATTGAGCACCAATGGTCTGTATTCAAACTCCTAGCGTCTCTGGATTCAAGTATCTATTGGCTCTATGCCCCATGATTGATGAATCATAGAATGTTGTATACAGTATTATCTACTAGTCCCAGTTTGATTGGGAATTAGCCTGTCCTTGCAGAAAATTGGAATTTTTGCAAATCGGTGGCCAAAGACTGTAATGCATCAAACATGAGACATAAAGCCAATAAGAATAGGAGGCCAAAGATGCCAGTAAATCAAAAACAGGCCATCGATGCTAAATAGCGCATTTCGTATCTTATTTGCCTCCGGAAGTTTTGCCAATCGGTGGCTAAGAACAGTAGTGCTAAGTACGTCCTATCACTGATTATCTAGGTATTGAGGAAGTCCACAGAGCTCTGCCTTCTGATTGATACGTCACTAGTAATAGCTGCTAACTCAGGTCATTGATTATCATGTGGATTGCTTGGAACGTGACCATACTATATAAAAGCTCTAAAAGATGGGTAACAAGATAATACTCCTGAAATATAGTAACTCAGTTAATCTACTTGGTTGATAACTGGCAGGGCACGTAGCGCATATTCAATATCGATCTCCTATCAGCGATTAACCCTTGAATGTCTCGGGAAATGATAAACCTTCGTATGATAATAGGAAACTTTGTAGTTTATTCCCTAACATCTCAATACGCGGATTAAATATCACCGCTAATGTGTCGGAGGTTCAAAATCCCCATTTTCTTTGATTAATGGGAGCATGGAGAAAGACTGAATGCTAGAAATTTCGTACTACTTAGCACTGAATGTTAGGTAGTCGGTAAGACTATACTACCTGTCTTTCACTCTTACCTACTACTGGATTAGCTACTTAGGTAGTATCATGAACTCCATTGATGGGCTAAAACTTGCCCAATTTTGATTTAGTCTACTAGGTGCGGAGTACCGTAGTTGCGGCTTCTTGGCAACCCACCCTCCCTTATTCTCGCTCAGCCGGTACTCCGTAGATGATGTTGATTTCTCTAAGCCCCGAACTCCAAAGTCCTTCAAGGGTCATGTTATTCGCATCTTACTGCTTGTACCAGCTTCGGTCATAGAACGGGCACGACTACTGACTAACTGGCATACCTTCCTGCCTTAACAACAGCCCCGTGCTCCAATTCCGACCGGAGTACGGCACTACCTCCTGCCATGGAAACCAACGTTTCTGAGCTAGTTGAAAGGTTGAGAAGCGATGAAGATGCGGTGCGCAAGATGGCTGTTTTCAAGCTTCAGGGAAGCATTGGAGATCCTTCATTCGCCGATATTTTCATTGCAGAAGGTGGACTGGCCAAGTTACGCTACTTGACCATACATGCAAGTGGTAACACATTGGCATATAGCCTCACCAGCTTCGCAAGATTACTAGAAGTTGACAAAGGCTGGGATCTAGTAGATCAGGAAGTGGTTGAAAGAGTAGGTATTATTCTCAAGCTCTCTGCCTTTTTTATAACATACATCAACATAATTATATTGTATAAAACATACTGATACATTTTACTGTCTTCTCTGTCCAGGTTGTTGAACTTATAGTGACGCACCCATTGGTCAATATTCTGAGGGGTGCAATGTCTATCTTAGTCTCTATTGTGTCGCATCCTCATACAGGTAATCACTTATCACAGGATGGGAGTTTCGGCTTTCGTGCATTGAAGCCTGCAATTGCCATTTACCCGCAGTTCCTGGAAATGCTTGTCAATAGGCTTTCATCTGCAGACCATGCACTTTGTGCCAACGCACTCCAATTGATTAATTCTCTGATGCGTGACTCCATCACGAATGAGTTAGATACAGAGTGGCCAAAATTTATACAGAAGCTGCAGGATCTGGGTGTGATCAGGGCAGTCTACTCCCTCATGCAAGGCACTGCCTTGCAGGATCACGTGCACCCATTGATCGAATTCCAATCTCTTACCAAAGTCCTCATCAGAAAATGGAGAGAGATATCGCTTGACTCAGAAAGGCCAGAGCATAGAAGGGCTCTGAAAGGGATTTACTTGGCTAGTTCACGCGAACGCAGTCAGGACAAGGGAGTCGAGAACAGTGACGATGTACGACATTCAAAAGGACATACTCCAGAAAAATGGAGGCGTCTTGGTTTTGAAACGGAAAGCCCATCGACGCAATTTGAAGATACGGGTTTCTTGGGGATGATGGATTTGGCAGATTATGTCAGAAATCATCAAGATGAATTCCAGAAAATGCTCCTGGAACAGTCCACGAAACCCATACAGCAGCGATGCCCCATCGCCCGTGCTTCACTATCTGTCACTTTGATTCTGTATCAGCATTTTGAGGTGGACAAGTCGGAGATGGATGACGCTAAAGGCTATCTCCTACTAGAGTCTCGATCAAATCTTGATAAGCTATTTGAGCCTCTACTGTTGCATTGGACCAGACTGCATGTTGCAGGATTGCATGCTTTCTTCCGTCTATGGAAGGCTACGGGAGCGGAGCTTGAAGATTACGAAAAGCTTGTCGAGCTTGTTCGGATCTTAATTGAATCTGTCGTTGGTGGAGCACCTCGCACAAAGGATGTGCAGGAAGTGGAAGAAGAACTGGCTAACTTTGAATATGGCCGGCTCCGCGAATTACAAATGGAGCTATTGGAGCTCACGTATGAAGATGCATGGAGTCAACATTTGCGACAGATGCGCGAAGAACTGTATCATGAAGCCCTTCAGTTCGTTAAAGAACAGAGAATTCGCTGCCTGTTGCAGGGTGCATGGTTCCCCAACGAGAGTCCACAAAGTTCAGAAGCATTGAACGAAAAATGCTCATGGCGATACGTTCAACTTTCACACAATAGAAGGTTCCTACACTTTGGTGATTTCAATGCCATCAAAGAAAACTGTCCAGAGCTTGACGCCCTGCCCGAGAAGAGTAAGTGTGTCCAATCTTAGCATCGAATGTGGATAATTTCATCCTTGAATGTTGAACTGACCGCCTTTCCCTCTGTCAGTCGACCTTTCATTGGTGTCTTCAGTAGTGTCAAATGTTTCTGCGTCATCAAAAGATCACACAATCTCGAGTGCAAAAGACATGGCCCACGCTATTGCCTATACGAAAATTACTGTCCACGGATACCCATCACCTTCACCCGGTAATGGGGATACCCAGAAGAATAATGGTCACCGTCGAACCTCAAGCAAATCAGCCCATAGGGAATCTGTATTGTTGAGTCTTCGTCCACCGTCCCCTAGTATCGCGTCTGAATGGCTTGATGGGTTGCTCATGCTTCTCAATCAACAGCCCATAACGGCAGAGACGAACAAACTTCTGAATCTAGTCAGCAACTACGGACTGAAGATCCGCTTGTTGAATGTTCGATTCGACGATGTAGCATTCGCAGGTGATGCCCCACAGGTTCCCTCCCGAGATGGCCTCGATGACAATTACTACTATGATGTCTTTGGCGGCTCGTAGTAACATTTTTGTCATCGGATTGATTGAATCATACATATGTCCAATGTATGATATAATTAAGATGTTCTTCGCTTGATGATAACATGGCAAATGTGAACAAGCGCATTGGGGATCACTGACGCAGGGACTTCTCGCTTGGTTGGAATCTCTACTCCCCCAGGGGATCCGGTTGTCAATTCAACTCACCTATGATTAATGATATATATGTTGATTGAATACACTTATATACTGTGTTGAATAGTTCGGAAGTTATTCGTGTAGTTTGTCTCCATCTTCCTTGTGGCGCCTCCTATATTTTCACTTGTTTGGTTCTAACAGTTCTACTCTGTATTTAGTATTGATTTTTTGCAGAAAAAAAGATATCTACAAATTAGTCTCCTATCCTTCATTGGCAAATACGTTGGGTATTCCATATGGCTGGAGATGAAGGAAGGGTTCTTGTTTACATGTCTATAAGGCTTAATAAGCCATCAACTCGTACTATGTACCTTTCGCATGAGCCAATCGTGGAGGAATCAAGGGTCCTAGTGTGGCTGAAACCACTCCCACCATGCTATTACCTTAGTACGGAGCTCCGGGTTGTGTAGGCGGTAAGAACCGGAGTTTGACACCACAGCCATAATTGGATCAAGTCAATTCTTGTTCAGACATGCCAGCCTTATCGATGAACTTCCTTTAATGGCTACTGTATATCCCCCATATACTCACACGATCACGAACTATCCGTCTCTCAGTAAAGCCACTGCAATTCGCTGAATGCTCGGGGAATCGGGGTGCAGAACGCTTGGTTCAGAACATCCTATCGTCACTCCTTAAATACGAGACACCCAAGCCTAGTTAAATGCTTGTCATCATCACTAAACTCTCTATTTTCCGAATTAACTAATATTTTGCAAAATATGAAACGCAAACACCAGGAAGATGCTACGACAACGCACAAGTCCTTATACGGCTCCTTTGACCTCAAGAAAACCGAACAGCATTTGTCTAATCAAAATACCGATAGTCAACGGGATACGGAAACAGGAGATGGGAAATATAGCAGCGATGATTTAATTGAAGATGATTATGACTCGTTTGACGAAATATTTATTCGCCATATCGCGAATGATAGAAATACATGGCAAGACGATAGACAAAATTATTCACCGAGAAGTTGGCTGTCTAAA